TGATAGCTGCCCTGAGCCTGGCCCTGGCCGGGGAGGGCGGGATATTATTATTATTATTATTATTATTATTATTATTAATAATAATAATAATAATATTCCTTCTGAGCATGGAGGCTGCATATAGCCATTGTGATTAGGAGCCATTGATAGCTTAAAAATTGGGGAGGGGGAATTAGACAGAATCATGGAGGATAAGGCTATCTAAATTAATCTTGATCACCACATCTTGTGGTTGCAAATTCTATACATTAATTGTGCACTGTGCAAATTACTTTTTGCCTCTCCTGACTCTTCTGCCAATCAGCTTCATACCCTGTGTAATTTTATGCACGAGACTGTAGGGTGTGAGATGCCATGTAATTTCATCACTGCTGTTTGTCAGAGCCCAGGGACGCGGACTTATAAAAAATATTGGGGGGGCCCGGGAAAGCTCATGAATAATAAATAAGCTCATGAATATGCAAATAAAGTGGCGCCGCCTCCTCGTGAGCGAATAGGGGAGAGCGTGCTGCGCCTATTAATCAGCTCCAAAGGAAATTGGGTGGAGCTTTTGCTCGGGAGGGAGGGCAGGAGGCATGCAGCCCGCCCCTCCCTGTGCATTTTGGGCTGGGGGAGGGGCGGCGATGGCGCTCTGCTGGAGGGGCGCCGGAGATTATTGGGGGGGCAGAGCCCCCCCAAACGAATTTTTGAGGGGGCTCGGGCCCCCTCAAGCCCCATGGAGTCGGCGCCTATGTCAGAGCCTACAAATCTCTAGCCTTGGTCTAGACCAGCCTTTCCCCACCGTGGTATCCTCTGGATGTTGCTGGACTCCAGCTCCCATCAGTCCCAGCCAGGATGGCCAATGGTCAGAGATAAGAGGACTTGTGGTCTAACTCATCTGGAAGGGATCAGGTTAGGGAAACCTGGTCTAGACACATTTTGGGTTGCACTTGGGCTTTACAGGAACAGGACTCTGATCTGAACTTGCTCCTTTGATACTGGATTCACAGAATCCAGCAGCAACAACAAAGTATAATTTAATTGTAAACTCGCTGGCATATTTAACTTGCAATCAAGCCTCCGTAAGTTTCTTCGAAGCACAGGGATATATCATTAAACTTTGATTTCCTCGAGAGAACTGAAAGTTACAAAAAGTGAAAGGAATAATATTTAATAGAGAAACCAAGACACAGATCCAGCAACAAACAAAAATCTTAAGCAACCTTTAAGCCCCATGGAAATATTTCCAAGACCTTTACAACAAGAAAGATATGAGTCTTAAAACCCCAAACATAGCTGTGATTTTTCTTTTTCAACTGCAGTGCAGCCTTTGGATAGCTGAACAATTATTTACAGTCATCTCTCAGGAATTTCAAAAACAATTTTAGAAATACCTGCTACTCTTCCAATGATCTCAATTCAGGGAGTAGTGCTGTTTTCTCTCTGTGGGTAATGAAACTTTAATGATATTTCCCAGCAGGGGCCTAGTTGAATCATGCAAAGAAGGGAAGAGGGATTCCCAACAGAAAGCTCTGAAATTAGGAAACTTTCAACACACTCTTGGCTTTATCATCTTTGTTAGCTACAAACCAATTTGTTTTAGCCAATTTTTAATCAATTTCCCCTTTGATTTGTTAATTTTAAACTTTTCAAAGTTTTCTTTTTTATATATATCGCTCTATATCCTTGGGGGACGCGGGTGGCGCTGTGGGTAAAACCTCAGTGCCTAGGACTTGCCGATCGTATGGTCAGCGGTTCGAATCCCCGCGGCGGGGTGAGCTCCCGTCGTTCGGTCCCAGCTCCTGCCCACCTAGCAGTTCGAAAGCACCCTTAAGTGCAAGTAGATAAAGAGGTACCGCTTTATAGCGGGAAGGTAAACGGCGTTTCTGTGCACTGCACTGGTGCTAGCTTGCCAGAGTAGCTTCGTCACGCTGGCCACGTGACCCGGAAGTGTCTTCGGACAGCGCTGGCTCCCGGCCTCTTAAGCGAGATGAGCGCACAACCCTAGAGTCTGTCAAGACTGGCCCGTACGGGCAGGGGTACCGTTACCTTTACCTATATCCTCAGTGTTCACCTCTTCCTCCTGGTGCCATCACTGCCCTTTCACATGCCCTCTCTGCTCAGTGGGGAGAAGAAGGGGAGCAGGTTGTTGCTCCTTCTTCAATCAGGACTCACTTGCTTGGAGGAGACAATGTAAGAGGCCGTGACAGCAAGGAGGATGACTAGTTCAGGGCCTCTAGTAACATGTGGTCTACAGAGGTGCCCAGTAATGCCAACACTGACACTGGCTGGCTGTCATAACAGCTTGTAAAGTGATGCTCCTGGAAGTCCTGCCTCTGAGTAGATCCTTAGCAGGCGTGTGCATCAGATTTGGACAAATCCCAAATCCAAGGCTGAGTGTCTTGGAGGAATTTGGGGCCTGTCCAAGGTGAAGCAAGATTGTTACAAAACTGCATGAATTGAAGCAGCGATCCCTGAAGCACCTAAGTGATCCAGACAATTTAAAAAATGTGGCAGATGAGTGTCTGCTAAAAGTGAAACTCTGTCTCTAAGCTTATAGTATAAGGAAAATGCCAGGGTGTTGAGGAAGAGCAGGGGGAGAGGGAGCTGCTTTGCAAAATGGAAATTTAGCTCCCTAGTTTAAGAAAAAGGCCGGGATCAGGAGGAGGAGCTCTGTACCTTGTAATCAGAAGGAACTGTTTTTAGCAGGGCTCTTCAATCCCATTGCTTGGGGAGAGGGAACAACTCTGCAAGAGTGAAATTTACATATCTAAACTCAAGGAAGATGCCAGGATAGAGAGGGCAGGTGGCAGAGGGGAAGCTCCATGATAATGGGTCATTCCACTTTATAACCAGAGGGGATGATTTTGCCTGTAAAGTGAATCCCTTTTAGTTCTTTGCATGGGAGCTCTTACTGCTGCCACACAACCTTTTAGTTCTTTGAATGGGAGCTCTTACTGCTGCCACACAACCCTGCTAAACAGCTGTTTGGAGAGAAGATTTATTGCAGAGGGCTCCCCACTTAAGTGCATTTTGTTTATGCCAACAGGGGACCAAATCTTGTGGTTGGTGCATACTTCCGGTCCTTAGTATACTTCCCCTGCCATCATAGCACATTCCACTCCATTATATCTGTAAGCCATGGCCACCCCTTCTTATCTGCTGCCATTGTGCTTTCTGCTGCAACCCTTTCCCCATGTAGGTTTTGTGGCAAAGCATTCCTTGCAGCAAGATAAATAAACTCTCTGGGCCTTGCCACTGACGTAAAAGCTTAACTGTAAAGAAAAAACTGGGTACCAATTTCCACAAACAGAGAGCTTACATGGCTAGGTGTATCCAGGTTAGCTGAATTAAAAATCGAAACCACTGCTTCTCACTTGCCCACTTTCAGTATTTAGGAACTTAAAGTCTGTGCACAGAGTGTTGGCTGAAACAGCTTTGGTTTGTACATTCAACTTGCTTTGGTGCACTGCAGATCAGTTAACTCTCCCCCTCTTTTCTGTATATGTTGGAGCAATGCCTATGCAGTACCTGATGTCTGCATATAGCACACAGCCGGGAATACCATCAGAGCAGTTGCTACATGGAGATCAACACTGAGAGCCAGAAGGGAAATTTATTAGGGCAGGTAAGCCTCGGTTTCCTCCCCCGCCCCACCTCATCCATTTTGTAGGAACAAACGTCCATCAGGCTTCACCACCAACCATATTCATCTGGCATTTCCTGCTCCATGGGTCTATACAGAAATAATCTGGCTGCTGCCGCTATGTTCAAGACTTGGAACACATAGGCAAATGCAAGGAACTTTTCCGCACTGTGGATTAGGCGGAAAGCCAGAAAACAAACAGACCTCATAGCACAGAGTAATGGCAGGTATTCTTAGAATATATTGCTCTATGCCTTTTAGTGAAAATACTTTGAAATCTCTCCATCCTCTAGTAGTGGTTAGGAGACCACCAGCATGTTTAAACAGCAGCAACAATGACAACAAGATACACTAAGACGTGTCTTTCAAAGCAGTCCGTACATTTTAACTCTCCCAAAGCAGCTATCAGATAAAGCAGCTTGCATATCAACGGAGTGATTAATATTTCCAATATTTCAGTATTATATTCATTTTTATATCAGTCCTTTCCAGCGGTGGCAGGTGGTGGGGCAGGGCAGTGGTGGACCTCTGCCTTTGCATCTGTGCAGTATTGACCTACCTGCCTCCTTGTCTCTCCTACTCTCCCTCCTGGTAAAAGCTAAAGGTACCCCTGCCCATACGGGCCAGTCTTGACAGACTCTAGGGTTGTGTGCCCATCTCACTCTAGAGGCCGGGGGCCAGCGCTATCCGCAGACACTTCCGGGTCACGTGGCCAGCGTGACGAAGCTGCTCTGGCGAACCGGCACCAGCGCAGCACACGGAAACGCCGTTTACCTTCCCGCTAGTAAGCGGTCCCTATTTATCTACTTGCACTTAAGGGTGCTTTCGAACTGCTAGGTGGGCAGGAGCTGGGACCGAATGACGGGAGCTCACCCTGCCGCGGGGATTCGAACCGCCGACCATGCGATCGGCAAGTCCTAGGCACTGAGGTTTTACCCACAGCGCCACCCGCGTCCCTGCTCCCTCCTGGTAAGCAGCAGCTATTCTACTGCTGGGAAAGTGCACTGCAATGAGTCCTATGCTGATTTGCTCCTGCATGGATAGAAGGGCGAACGGATGGCTAATGCCCATCATTTTTGCACCGTGTTCTTGTACTGGTATATCGAGCTAGGGATGAGGAAGCCATTTTTTCTGCTACTATTTTTCTGTTACTATTTAATACTTTGGAGATGCCATTACGTAGATGCACAAAGAATAGAAAATGGTACCATAACCACACCTCTCCTCCTTATAGGAGAGTCTGAGCAGTTCTGAGTCCTATTGTGTCCAAAGGGACAGATTCCTGTGCCCTGAGCGTTCCATGCTTTCTCAAAGTAGCCACAAGGCCAGAAGGCACAGAACGTCAAACATTTCCACAGCTGCTAATTCCACTCACCGCAGGAATCTTCAGACCATTCTCTTTCATTGCAGTCACCTTCTCATCTCAAGCTTCATTGATCCCTGTCTGTGGCTAGAAGAGAGAAAATAAAAAGAAAGGTCAGGGGTTAAAAAGAAGGCAAATCCTTATTTGTCAGAAGAACACATGATCGTTGGGGGCTTCTTCATTGTGCTCTGCTCACTTTCATGAGCTTCTCAAGAGCAAATTTAAGGAAAAGGAGAAGAACTTTGTTTATGATTGGATACAAAGTGCTGTTGATTTACCTGGGTCATTGCTAAGGTTAGAAACAATTACAATTTTATTAGCACCATTAGTTCCTTCTGGTGGATTCTCCAAAGTGCCTTTGGCTAAATGGCCCCTGCCACAAATGTTTACATTGTCACTTTTCCATCAAGTTCTCAATCATGAGAAGTTACTGCAGAAAGAAATCAATGGCTGGAGTTGCAGCTGCCAGTTACAGAGCTTTGTACAATGCAAAATACTGGGCCTAAGCATGGGGGGTGGGGTGGGGCAAAGCTTGTTGTAGATAAGGTTCAAAATAGAGATGGGGAACCTATGCCTTCCACTTGCTGGACTACATCTAATGCCACCCCTGTCAAATGACTATTAGCCATGTAGGCAGAGTCTGAGGAGAATTAAGAGGAGTCACACAAATCTATTACGATATTAATTTCCACTGTCATGTGACATTTTCCATTCTGCTGTGTTTCATTTTGTGTGCATTGATGCAGAAATACATGTATTTTTAATGTATTTTTACACAGCACAAAATAGGCACCTATATCTGAACCACCCACAGATATTTACAAATCAATTACCTTCCCTGCATGTTCTCTTTCAAAGTTACGGACTTTCCAGAGGGGTAGCCCTGTTAGTCTTTTGAGGCAAAAACAATAAAGACCCTTAAAGACAAAGTTAATGAAGTGGCTAATGCCCTATTACCAAACTATCTATGGCTGGATGTCTACCTGTTCATGTCTACTCAGAAATAAGTTCCGTTGAACACAGTCTTTCTTCCAGGTAAGCAAAGTTGGGTGTCATGAACTGGCAGAACAACAGGGAGGAGGAAGAGGATCACAACAAGGGGTGTAACTGGGACACACTGGGGCAAGCAGGGGAGAGGGAAGGAAATACTCACAGGGTGACAGGATGATGAAGGGATGGGGGACAGTGCATAGGACGTGGAGCAGCATGACCCATCACCAGAGCCATAGGGGCCCCTGTCTCCACAGCAGCCTCTGAGGCATAGGGAGCAGCAGGAGGGGTACTCTAGGAGGCTGAGGGTCCACAGTCCAGCTCCCTATCTGGCCAGGTGGGGCTTGCTAGCTCTGGGAGAAGGAGTGTGATTCCTCAGCTGGAGTAGGCTTGGAACAGCTGAGGGTCACCTGCCTCATCAAGCCCAGATGCTGCAATCAGCATGCAAAGTACAAAAGGGAAGCAGAGCTGAGGGGCTGTGTCTGTTCAACTGCCTTTGTTGATGGGTCTTGATTTGATACTGCTGCATCTCTATGGGGCTGTGCTTTGGGTTTGACTTTGGACTGTATCCTGACCGCTGGACTTCAGACTTGGCTACTTGGATTGATTCTGGACTGTGTTTCCATCCCCTTGGATTTGGCATACTGACTCGCTGCCAGGTAGGCCCCAGAGTTCAGGACATTAGGATTGCAGCAACTCTCACAACCTTGCTTTCACAGTTCAGTATAAACTTCTCATTCTAGCTCATTTCCTGAGGCATCAGGGAGGGACAGTCAAGAAAACTTCAGAGAGGAAAGGAAAGGCATTTTAAATTTAGGTTTGCTTTTAAAATGAAGATTTAGGGTGATGAAAAATGGGCAGATGAAGTGGGTTCTTCCCACTCTGAGAAAGAGGTTAAGACTTTAACTGAAGAGCAGTGATAAAATCCTAACTGCACTTACCTGGGAGTAAACCTCAAGGAATTCAATGTGATTTACTTCTGAGTAGATATAAGGGTTGAAATCTTAGTGCTTATAGGATTCCTTTGGCAACAAGCAACACTTCAGAAATAGGAAAAGCAAATAGCCAGCTGCATATGTCAATGAATATGTAAATAACATATATTACAAAACAATTTATATCTATTTTTTGTATAATGTGTGCATGTTAAAAAAATTGTAGAGAATTAAGGTGAATGGCTTTCACAGCAAGGCTCTATGCTGCAAAACAGTAGGGGTCAAATGGGTAGATGGAAGGAAATTTGTTCGAGTCCATTTTTAATGGATTCCTTTGACGTTCCGCTTCCCTCATGTCTTACGATGGGTGGACACAAACAGTGGTACGTATTTCACCTTTGTTATTATGTACTCTGGTTCAGCACTGCATGGGGTAAGTTTGGTATTGATTAACTACTTGCATAAGGATTCCTGTAGCCATTTCATTGATTGTGGTTGCTCTTCATCAAAATGGCAAAATAGCTGTGACTAGCTCTGTGATAAGCTTATCATACCGAAGTTTTACTGCGCAGTCATGTACCCAGATAACCGTGTGGTGAAACTATGTGCTTCCTTTTTTGGTGAGCCAACTTTAATGATGTCTACTTTCAGGTTGTGGTTTGACTGCGTTTAACAATGCAATTTTAAAAGTGTTTTTGAGTAACACTTTTGTTTCTGAAATACAACTATGAAATTGCCACCAAAGAATAAGATTTCCTCAGGTTTTAGATTTTGAGGAGTGTAGGGTAGTATTCAGCTACTGAATTTTCCATGGTATTACTATGCTTGAGAGTTGTTTTCCAAGATACAGCACCGTTTTGCACTCAGAATGATTGCAAATCACTACAATTCCTGTAGGCTGGATGGAGCAGATGGACTGGAAAGCATATCTTAATTTGTATGATTGTATTGCATTTAATGCAGAAAGCCAGTGTACTTGCCATTGGCAGTTTAGTATTTACCATATTTGGGCTGGGGAACCTTCTGACCTCCCAATGTTAAGCTACAACTCCCATCACCCTGATCATTGGTGAGGATGGCTGGCATTGATGGGCAATGGAGTCCAACAACCTCAGGCGGCCCAGAGGTTCCCAAGATGGAAAGCCTAAAATTGCTAAATGATTTCTGGCAAAGATGTTTTGTTATCACAGGATATCCTAGCAGACAGAAACTGATCTTTGAATAAAATAATTGATTATGCTCATCATTATTAAAACACAACTTTTCTGTCCGGGTTGTATATATGCATATGAATATATTATTGAAATGAAGTTAATAAAGGGAGGGGCAGGCGAAAATATAAGCTTAATGTAATTAAAATAGCCTCAAACAAGTTCTACTTGAGGGTATTCTTTCACCAGGGAAGCTGTTTCTCAGAAGGACTTTAACTGATCTTCATGCAGAATTAACTACGACTCATCAAAATTTCATGGCCTATAAACTACACCACTTCATCTTTGTACCACCCAGATGAAATACCAAAGTGTGACCATGGCATTTAGCAATACAGTGGTACCTCTGGTTACGAACTTAATTCGTTCTGAAGGTCTGTTCTTAACCTGAGGTACCACTTCAGCTAATGGGGCCTCCCACTGCGCGATTTCTGTTCACATCCTGAGATAAAGTTCTTAACCTGAGGTACTACTTCCAGGTTAGCGGAGTCTGTAACCCAAAGTGTTTGTAACCTGAGGTGTTTGTAACCCAAGGTACCACTGTAAACTACTGGTAGGGTGGGTGGGAGGTAGAAATTTGTGATGGGTGTGTGTAGGGAAAGGCTATAGTGCAGAGGAGAAAGTAATTATGCCTAACATGTAAGATGGAATTAACAGTCTAAGGAATTGGAGAAAGGTCTGACAAGTAATTAAAGGAAGAAATATCTTTTCATAAATTATATGGGGTAATAAATTCACTGATCAAGGCCTTATAGTCATAATGCAGTGTAATCCTGTACATGGATATTATAGTAGTGGGGCCCAGTAATTAAAACAAGCTAAAAATGTAGCTTTGGAGCTACATCTAAAAGTTCATACCCCTCAACTGCCCTGTTTAAATTGGGACATCCTGTTTTGGGGCTCTGAACTCTCATGCAGATCATGTGACTATGCAGCCTCTGAGCACAGAGCAGGCTCCTTCAGATTATTTCCCCATCATGTGGTGGGGGAGGAGGGCAGAGCCAGCAGGGAATCTAAACAGTGGGGCTGATGCCAACAAGTGGAATTACATGACAACTGAGCACCTGAAATGGGCTCCTGTCATGGTAGGAACTAGGTCAGAAGATCTTCAAAATGCTTTCCAATCTCACAACTCTTTCCCCTATTCCGCAAGCCCAAGCTGAATATGTATCAAATATGTCTCTTTAAAAAGCTGCCATGTTTATTTATGTACTTGTTAAACCAAAAGATTCAGCTACTGATGCTGATAAATGTAATCTCTAACCATCTTCAAAGGACCAGCCCAAGCTGTAAAAAATCATGGATGACATGCTAGCTTGCTTATAGCCCAGATGAATGAGAGATTTTGTACAAGGTGCTTTGCGATGAATTTTTCATGTTCAACAGCTAGTCTCTTGAGCTGGAGTTCTAGCTGTCAAATCAACCACTGGCATTCCATCTATGCCACTTAATAACCTGGAAGGGGACAGTAGCGGCATATTCAGCACAGAACCCATTGAAGTACAAATTACAAATCCACGGCATTGTGTGGCATTTAGAACATTTGTGTATGTAAGTCACACATAATCCATGATCAGTCTGAAAATAGTAAATGAGCTTGTCTCTCCGGTTGAAAAAGAATAGGGTATGGACTACCATAGCAAATTAGCAACTTGAAAACGGATGTATGTCCTCTGAGCGCTGAAAGCTTTGAACTGGAACAGTTGAATATTACACCCCACTCTCAGGAGATTTAAAAGCAATTGCAGTACAAGAATAGCTGCTTATTAAGAAAGCTTTTAAAAAATGATGTTAATGGTCTATACTCCTGGGCTAAAACAATTACCAAGCTGTGATCTAACTAATAGCTTTTTATTAATTAAGATCCTTGAGCAGAATTTGCATGAATACGTCCTTCCTATCTTGCTAAACAAAAAGTTATAGGAGAGGGTGCTTTCTAATCAGATGAAAA